GTGTTCCACTTCCACATCTGTTTTAGGGTTTCGAATATTAGGCTTGCGAAATGGGAGGTCCCGCCGGCAGCTCTAACTTTCTTTTCCCTGCGAAGAAATCAATCAATGATGTACCCTCTGCTTATGCATGACCTCTTCTGAACATTCCACCCTTAGGTTGCCGAAAAAGGTTTGCCCTGTTTCTTTTCGAATTGGCCGACCGATAAGCCATGGCAATTTTCAAATTGAAATTCTTCCTCTGAAACGCTATTGTTTTATATCAACTGGTGTATCTTTTGTGAGCACTTCTTCTGCTCTATTCGCTCATTTGTTTTGTTTTAATGTTTGTTAGGAATTAGCTCGAATTTTAGGTGTTTAGGAGTAAGGTGCTTTATCCACGAAAGTGACCGCATTTCTTTGAAAAAAATTATCCCTGAGAAGATGAGAAAATCAACCAGGCGTACATTCCTAACTTAGTCATGACTTGTTCTTTAAATTCTACTAGTTTTTCAATGTCTCGGCTATAAAAAAATTTCGACCTAGATCTCAGGTAATGGTGCTCGACCGTCGAGTTCTGGTTGAAAAACCAGGTCTGGAAATGGAACGACGCGACTTGTTGGGAAACCTAATAGTGTAATGTTCAGAAGAGGTCATGCATAAGTAGAGGGTACATCATTGATTGATTTCTCCCAAGGGAAGATAAAGTTAGAGATAGTTGTCGGTTTGGTCAATTTTTGTCGGCTGGACCTCCCATTTCGCAGGCCTAAAATTTGAAAACCCTGAACATAGGTGGAAGAGGAACATAGCATCTTGTAGAGCAGACAATTCTCTTTCGAATGGTATATGAAGATGTAAAAGCATGGGGATTTAGATGAAAATTTTTTGGTTGAAAAAAAGCGACACTATTTATGAGACAACCTAATAGTTGCAAATGTATCTGCATTATCTGCTAAGCGACACTGTGAGCTGTGAGCAAATTACGTAAGTATTTTTGACGATTGTGGTGTGATGGCCTCAAAGGCATCACTTTACCGCAATGATAACGGCATGCGGTTCAGCGCCCCACTTTGCACACCACGTCGGATGATGTGACACGGTTGCATGTCCCACCCAAGGCAATCCTTTTTCTCGCGGTGCGAGACTTCTATGATTGTATTCATTCTAATGGATAATAACAGAGATTAACGACATGTTTTACCGTGTTTCGAATGGCTTCAATTGAAGGTTTTTTATGGCTTAAAGCTCTGACCTAAAGCCAAAGGATCCCCTCTTGCTTTCCTCTCCAGTCCACTACCTAGAGAAGAAACCTCATCCTAACAATCGTGATGTCGACATCTGATCTTTCTTCGATCAGAATTCAGTGGAGTTCTACAAGAGAGGCATCGAACAGCTTCTAGTGCGTTGGCAATAGGTTGTAGATATTGATGGAGGTATTATGCTGGATGAATGGAACAAAAAGATAACAAAAATATTAAATCAAAATTTAGCCAGTTTGTTGCAAAACTTATGAACCCACCTAGTAGAAAGAAGCTTCATGCTCACAAATATGATGATATCGTATAGCGTGTGCATACCTCTCGTACTAGGCTGTATGGGACCGCGCGATGGGTACGCGTATCGCACCCATGTGGGCTATTTTTATGGTGCTTCGCTATCCTGAAGAAACGAAGTGTTTTTAAGAGATTCCAGCTGTTGGTGAAAACATACGGTCGACGTTACTGTTTTTCGCACGAAAGATCAGAAAGTCTCGACTTGGCACAAAGTGGTGAGCGCATAAAAGCCGGACGCTTCCAAAATATAATTGCGACTACAACTTCACTCGTCCGCAGGCTCTCCAGGGGTCATGACAATTTATCTATTAGTTTATGGTTATCAGCTATCTTAAAGCGTTCCCACACTGTTTTCTGATGATATGGTTGTTCCAAAGATTCGTCTGCTTAAGTATGTCAGCGCGCCCATAAGTGGCGATAAGGTATTACGCTATCCATAAGTAGGTATTACATATATCCAAATAAGGTACTACGGCTGGACCCATCCTGAATAATATCATTTCCAGATGTTTCATTTCCCTCAGCTACGGATTCTGAACAGTTTTATCACTTTATACACCTACATTGCGTGGAATGTGAGCATGTTCATATACATCGTCTACAGCAATGCCGCCTATGTCGAAGTGAAGCACTACAATGATGATCTCGAAAAGGTGCATTTGATTATTCAAACTCGCATGGAATCAGATTAGCAGGAGCAGTAACAATTCACATTTAAGCGTGTTTGACGTTAGCATTCACATTTTTTTTACCGGAAACAATACATCACCACGGTACTGTCTATGTAAGGAACACCAGATTTCTTGCGGTTAGGAGGCAAGTTATGCGGTAATCAATCAGAACTATGTAAATTACATAATTGTTCCTGTCATGTACAGTGTGTCCCAAAAGTTTAGAGACACCCTATTTCTTCAAAATCTCTAAAATGGGCGAATATTTTCTCTCCAAATTTTTATTAACAATGCACTATTACACCAGGGTACAAATATATATAATTGAAATTGGGAAGAAAAAATCTTGAAGATTTTTTTACGATCATAAATCATGGCGTCCCAAAAGTATAGGGACACTTCGGCGTCCAAACTTCTTTAACTATATACTATATTATGGAACCAAGAATTCTCTCTCTTCAATTTTCAATTCTCTCTCAGAACCTTCTTTCAACAGCTTCAACCGTTAGCTTCGGCATGCTACGGAGAAGTCAGGAGATCGTTTCCGGCGATATCCGTTCTCAAGCCTTCAAGTATTCTTCGTTCTCGAACTGTCTGCAGTTGGCGTAAACGTGCCGTGCGAGTATGCCCCATAGTTACTCTATCGGATTCAAGACAGGAGATGTGGCTGGCCGGCCGAGAAGATCAATGTTTCTCTCTTGGAACCACTCAATTGTTGCCGTTGTCTTGCTGGAATTTGTGAGTTTGAAGGGTGGAAATAGCTGCGTGTGTGATACCGAATACTTCTGGGGATGTTCCTGTAGCCACTGGAGTTCAAGCGTTGCGTGACAAAAACTAACTGTGACAGAATGCTGAGCAGCCAGCTGAAACTATGGCATTATCGCCACCGGATCCGCATCTGGAAAAGTCGCTCGTTCCTCAAATCGCGTCAATAGCTTGCCAGGCCTTCAACTCCATCCAAGTTAAGCGTATTTTCATCCGAAAGAAGCACCTGGAATATCACAATACCACACGCGGGATCTGCCAGTGCAAAGTACCTGGGTAGAAAAGTGACTCTGAACGATGTGGGGACATGACTTGAGAACATAGCCATAGCCTTAGTGGATAGGAAGCCACTCGAAAGTTCTACTTGGAACTTTTACAGGACCGAGCACCCAAGAATAAAGCAAAAATCCTCTAAAAAGCGATTTTTCGAGTTCGTTGCTTTCGAAGAATTGTTACAATGGAACCTTCCACCTAATAGCTCTAGATTTCTGTATTTTACACCCTGGAGCAAGCGCAAATAAATGCCCCACAAAACTTTGATTCCCTGAAGAAAGCAGAGCAGAAGGCCTGGAAACATTTTGACACGCCTCAGTTGCGTGCCACCGCACGCGCCATCCCCTTCATCTGAAGGCTCGTGTAAACGGGGCAAGGTGGCAGATCTCAATTCTGTTCTGGGATTACTTTCTTCCTAACATTTAAAAATTATATAGCGGGTCTTAAAGACTGGACGGTACTTAGGAAGCTCGATATTTTTTTATCTTCTGCTAGTCTGTTATTAGGCACAACTTTTTTTCCTACAAAAGTACAGCCGTAAATGTGCAACGTTAAGAAAAATATTCCAGCTTGATGGATCTTCTATCGATATAGAATCTGTTTTATTGAGAGAAATGGATGTGTATGGCAAAATATGTGACGTGGTCAGGGAATTGGATCGCATTTTCAGGGTTTGTATTACAATTTTTTGCTTTTTCGGATCTAGCCATTGAAATGAAGATAGTAAGTAGTATCTTATAAAGTTTTTGAAAAAAAAAGTTTGCAACGCCCAATCTTCCAGGGCTTCCTTACAGTAATTTTTGTTCTTTTGCACACTTACAATCCCAGTAGGGCGAAATTGGCCGAATTTTTCACAACAAATTTCTTCTGTGGGGGTTATGGAGAGCACTCACGAATATGACATCCAGTTCTGGCACCAGGCGGCCCAACGACCGATTCTTACCAAATTGCTGGTTCACCCACTTCTGAGTCCCCCTCTCCCCCTAAGCTTAGTCGTGAGCGCTATAAGTGAAAAAGCCCAGGAAAGCAGAAAATAAGCATTTACCAGCGCAAATACCAAAAACGATTGCTGCATTCGTAATCAGGATCCCAGCTAATTCTTTACAGCGAATTTGACGAGAACAGCTGCGGCGCCAATGTGGCGTCAACGCTCGAAATAGATACCATATTCGTGATCAGGGGCCTGGACTACATTAGAGAAATTTCAACATAATTGATTTCACCAATCCTACCCTTACTGGAGTTGTGTGATAATAATGCAATAATCGCGTACTTTACGCCACTTGCTTTCTTTTCATCGTGCCACTTTTTTCATGGAATTATTTCTCACCACATCGAGGATTTTTCAGCTTTACGCTTTCATCATGCTTGCTATCATCATTCCTTCAGTGATTTTCACACTAATGATGCTAAATCAGCGGATTCATGGTCTCAAAGATCTGGTCATATGTTTGCCGTCAATAGCTCTGTGTGTCTACAGCTTCCTGGCGGTCACCGCAGCACCTGCTAGATTGCACGACGAGGTAAAATGGGTCTTACATCAACACGCACTCAGTTTTTTCGTTAATTTTGTTAATGCTCTCATCTCAATTGTGAAAGGTCAATGAAGCAAAAACGACTCGGTTTGTTACGTAATAACTTCGTATAGCATACATTATACGAAGTTATCTCATGTATGCTTGAATTACCATACATGCCGTATAATATAGATGTTCACTGAGGGTCCTCTCTCACTGAAGATCTCGAGCCGTTGGTGGCGAGGCTACGTGGCGCGACCCCAGGTGGCGGATAGGGGGTAAATCGCGGACCAAAAGCCACCATGTACTTGCCCTGAGACGCAGGTGGATTCAGGGGATGGACTCCCTGTTTCTGTAGTGCTGTGTCGATTCATACCAGCTGTCTCCATACAGGTGTATCCATGCATGCTTGCGTGTGTGGTGTGTGTGTGCGGTTGGTATCCTGCATGTCGGCACAGCCAAAAGCTTGCATTCAAGTGACTGGGAAGTACATGGGAGGCGATTCGGAGCCGCCTCCAGAAACTAAGCCCTGTTTCCGCACCTGATTCACCTGTATCACCTGTCGTCCCGTTGATCGTCGATTTGCTCGAGCGGGCGCCAGCAACGTCTCCATTCGTCCCTGTCGCGTGCTAGAGTGGTCCAGTGGATCCTCCTTGCTCGCTATAACTTCGTATAGGGAATAGGCCGTGGGAACTAACTACCCTAGAGGAGATCTTATCTAGGCAAACACAACAGAGCCTTGGCAAGACTCGTGTTTGCCTTCAATTGCGAAAAACAGCATTTGAATGCGGCTTCATTCTCTTTGAACCATCCCCACGAAGCAGGCGTTGAGTAGGCCACTCGGTTAAAGAGGCTGCTAGATCTCAGGGCCCGGATAGGCTGCCTAAACGAAGAAGGACTAAGATGGCGATCTGTACTTTCAACGCAAGGACGCTTGCATCCGAAGCTCACAAGATCTGATGATGCAAGGCCAGGAAGATCAAGTACGACGTCATCGGACTGACCGAGACGAGAAGGCACCGCCCGCTACACGCCGTTTTCGATACTGGAGAAGAACTGTTCCTTGGAACATGCGACAGCAGAGGCGTTGGCGGTGTGGGTGTCCTCGTCAACACGCACTTGGCCATAAACATCGATTCGTTATACGAAGTTACTACGAATCGGACGTTTGAGATTGAGAAGATGTGGTTCAACTCCTGCTTTGACAATCTTCGTCGCCTACGCACCAACATCCAGCTACGACGAAGAAGAACACGAAGCATTCTATATGGAATTGGAGAAGTTCTACAGGGAAGATCATACCTTCTTCAAGGTCATCGTCGGCGACTTCAACGCTAAGATTGGCCCAAGAAGAACGGCTGAAGAACTTCACATCGGTACTCACGGAATGGAATGGAATGAGCAGGGTGAGAGACTGTCGGAGTTTATCATGTCGACCAACACCAGTATCAGGGGGTAACTCTTACTTTCCAAACCCCTCACTCGTTAGGACTGAAGTCAACTTGTAAATGGATAGTTCCATTAGCGAGAATGAGACGCCACACTCATCTTCAATCGAAGGTTTTGTGACGCTGTTGTTCCGAAGTTCTACACGGGATCAGGACCATCGTCTCCTCCGCGCAAAGTTCCACTTTTCGATGCGTGTTGAGAGAGCCTCGAAGTTCAGGAAGCGAAGCCCCAGGACAGTCATCATCTACTGGGATCACTTCACTTCCTCTTCGTCAACTCATGGGAGGATTCCGTTATCGAGAACATCGAGAGGAATATCATCGGCTCGTTGATCACTTTTCACGAGAGAGTGGCCAGGAAGACAGAGAGCTTGTGCAAGTTACAAAGAACCGTCTGTCTGACGGGAACTCTAGCACACGCAGATGGTGCGAGTTGGGTTTGTATTCTATCCGAATCTCGACGAAAAGCTAAGAAATTTCTCCTGGACTGGACGTGGTGTTCCTTCAAACCAAAGCTGGGGCCGATTTGGAAAACCTGCAAACAACCTTTCCTTGTGGCAGTACAATACTACGCCTGTTTGAAATCCGGGAAAATTCACCGCGATATCTGCGGAATTCTCGTTCTCGTTAATTTCGTGAATTCGTTATAACTCGGTTCAAAATTGAGCTTTCGAGAATCCGAAGATATCTTTGAATTCAGCTCGTCGGACACTATAAGAATGTGCTTTGATACTTTGGAAAAGCTCCATATAGGATTGCGCCATGCACTCGATTTTCATCTCAAAAGTAGTTGCTCGCATGTGATGTGTATACATATTCCACCTTATGCAAGCTAACCGCTACACAAAGAGAACAGTTTGGTTCACAGTTTAGTTCACAGTTTTCCACGGTCTGGCTCCTTTTTTTCCTTCCCCTGTCGTGGGAAAGTCTCCGATTCGATGACCTTTTCCACGGTCTGACAGTCGGCGCTCTGAGAAAGGTGCCTAAGAGTACGCTCTGACTGTGAAGTGTTGTTTGTGACACCACATGGCGCCGGCGTCAAGACTGGATGTTATATTCGTGATCAGGACCCCAAATAACCCCTATACACACGTTTTCAGCGGATTTGGTGGAAACAGCCGTGGCGCCAAATTGGCGCCAACGGGCTGTCGTTTTCGTAATCAGGGACCCCAAATAACCCCAAATGACGAAGTTTCAGCAGATTTGGTGAAAACAGCCGTGGCGCCAAATTGGCGCCAAACGGCGCCAAATGGCGCCAAATGACACCAGCATCAAAAATGAATGTCATATTCGTAATCAGGGCATCGAATTACCCCAATAGACAAAGTTTCGACGAAAAATGAAACTTTGAGATTTTGGGGCAGTAATCGTGGGATAGTGCCCAATCCGGCAATAGGGGGGAAAACGGTGAAAAACCAAAGTTTCAACTGGGGAAGTAATGCATATCATTCGATAGCATTTTTCACGGGGAAGCTAACGGGGCACATTTCAGGTCTGCGAGTTCATCTGGAAATGCAAAAAATCTGAACATTCCACAAGGGCATGACGAGGAGGCATGTTTGGGGCCACACCACGGAAGGAACGCTCACTTGCGACCGAGTTTCCATATAATTCTTACAGACAAGTGACCGTATTTTGGATGGGATATTGAGAGCAGAGGGAACACGTAAAGCCAGTAAGCGCTTAAAAACGAAATGAAGATCTAAGAATTCGGAAAATAACATTCATCTAATCTCACAATGTAGTGGATGAGATTGAGTACGTGGCGCATTCTGGGGTAAGTTTTGAGGCCCTTCTCTGTGTAGCGGTCAGCCCGCATAAGCGGGATTATATACACATCACATGCGAGCAACTACTTTTTGAGATGAAAATCGAGTGCATGGCGCAATCCTATATGGAGCTTTTCCAAAGTATCAAAGCACATTCTTATAGTGTCCGACGAGCTGAATTCAAAGATATCTTCGGATTCTCGAAAGCTCAATTTTGAACCGAGTTATAACGAATTCACGAAATAAACGAGGATTCGCGTTTAATTACGCGGGGTGAATTCGATTTCAACGGCGAATACTGTGATATTGGCACTTCTGGCGGGAATACAATTGTTCTGGCTATTGCAGATCCCAACAGCTGTGTAAAATTTTCCTTCAAAATAAAAGAAAGAGAGATGCCTGTGATTTCACAAGAATGCTGGGTTGTGAACAAAACTTTCGCCCCAGGCGGGACTAGAACCCGCACCTCTCGCTTTCCGGGCAAGTGCGCTACCAGTTACGCTACCGGGGCACCATTTCATTCCAACTCAGCTTTTCATGGTATACGTACCATAGCTTTCAGCACTCACACGTCTAACGTGTTGAGCCGGTTAGCCGATATCGGCAATGACCGCGAGGCTGAAAGCTTTAGCAATGATTTTTGACTTGTTTTGTTTGTTAACTGCTGTTTTAACGCCGCAGTTCGCGTTGCGAATGTTTCACAAGAATGCTGGCTGCGGTTCGAACAAAACTTCTCCAGCCAGTGACGACGACTCACGAGCGCGGTTACAGTGAGTGGGCACTGTAGAAGCTATGGTACGCAATATATGAAAAGCTGAGTTGGGATGAAATGGTGCCCCGGTAGCGTAACTGGTAGCGCACTTGCCCGGAAAGCGAGAGGTGCGGGTTCTAGTCCCGCCTGGGGCGAAAGTTTTGTTCACAACCCAGCATTCTTGTGAAACATTCGCAACGCGAACTGCGGCGTTAAAACAGCAGTTAACAAACAAAACAGAGATGCATGTCTCCACTGAAGCCGGTAAACAGCCTTCTGCATTTTCTGCTCCTGTGACATTTGTTGGTGTCGGAGATGAAACGGCACTCCTGTACATGATAGTAACGATCCATAAAGTTTCTTCGCTGATCACCTCCCCTGCCAGCGACTTCGTTTAGTCAAGCTCCTATGAGATTCCTCCAAGAGAGAGTCGCGTCGGTTGCGGTCAGTTCAAGATCGGAATGTTTCAGTAACCCTTGCGGCAGATTGGCCGGTCTTTCTCCCTCTCGCAGTCCTATGCATGATAGGCATTGTTTCCTAGTATCGTCTGATAATCTTTCGCGTAGCCCTTGTGGAACTTCAAAATATTTGCGTTGTCCTTCGTTGAGGGCTCGAGTCGAGATTACGGTGCCAGTAGAAGGCCTTCATCCAACTAAAATTTGCAGGAATGCGCTCAGAGGGGTGTCGCCTGCCACTCCAGGGGGGGGGGGCTGACTCGAGATTGCGCGCCGTCAAGGTTTCTGGCCTACAACTTATAGCGATGGGTTTGTTACATCAGCTGGTCCCGCCCACCGCGGGATGTGGTGCGTGGCTGGCCTAACGTGTGAGATCAGCTAGGTTGATTGCCGTATCAACCGATGGAACGGCTGGCATATCCGGAAAACTCGTTTGGACGTGGCTCTCCCCCGAGCAAGCCTCCTTCACTGCTAGAAGGGAAGGGGTTTCGATTTCGGTGGTTTCGACGCGTTTTTTCTTCACTGTCGTTCCACCTCCCATCTCTACACTCAATTTCAGGCGCCATAATGCCCAAACACGAGCCTGACTTTTGCCTTTAAGGGACCTGCCTCGTGCATGCAAATGGTCTCACTGAAAGACCTTCCACCATCTCAAAGGAGGTAGAAC